TTTTTTATTTTTTTTACTTTATTTTTCAGGTGTGTTGAGTTAAAATTTAGGGGTGCTTGAGTACCCCCAAGAAGAGGCTAAATTTGCCACTGCTTCTTTCTTTTCATAAATTATTTATCCTTGTTGGTGTTTGTTGATTTTGACATCATATTTACCATGTTGCCTAAGTCCCAAGAGAAAAAAGATTTAGAATTTGGTTCAATTGTTTACCTTGAAAAGCTGTTATTTTAGGTTTTTTGGTGCAGCAATAATTTCCAGAGAACTCTCTGAAAAAGCGTATTGTTTTAACATTCAGGCAAACCTAATACCTTATATTGAGAGATTGTTCACAAAACACCTTTTCAAGATGTTTGACCTAAGAATGTTTCATTCACTTTCTCTAATCTTGCACATGACTTTCAAGCCAAACTCTGTAGGGGGTTACACGATTTGCTCAAAGATTGTTTATTGTTTTGTTTGTTTGTTTTCTTGTTACGTGTGACTCTTTGCACAGAGAAGGTGTGGAGGATTAGCCCTGACTTTAATTTCAGTCAACACCATGCATATACTCATTACAATATAAAGTTATCCTATACTCATTACAATATAAGGTTATCCTTGTAGGATTCATTCTCTCAACACTTGAGAAGAACAAACAAGACACAGAGCCAGTGCAGTTTCTATAATAACTTTTTCTTTAGCTGATATTTATTTTGCGTAGATATCAATACTCCATGAATTTAGACATGCCGACATTATCAACAAGACATTAAAGCCCCATAAAGGCCAACAGGAAAAAGCATGAATAAGTAAATGTTATCAGCACAAACACACACTAACTCATGAACTCACCTGAAGACAAGCTGCTGTACTCAAACATGAGCTATGACTTCGCAATAAGTTTAAACGAAATGTAGAAGAGATTGTAACCTTTTCACTAGCAGCTGTGTTTCAAATGTGGGGCCTACTGTAAATGTGACATTAGATTTGATTGATATCTCGATACAATGATAATAAAGCTCATTCTGATTCTGATCCGATTCTGATTGGGTTATTAAAAACTTTAAAATAAAGGCCCAGTGTTTCTAAAGCAATGGTTCACACTGGGGTCCACGGACCACCGGGGGTCTGCGAGCTGGTGCTTGGGGGTCCACATAAAAAAAAAAAAAATTACAAATTATTATTATTATTATTGTTATTATTATTATAAAAATATCCCATGTTTAAAAGTATAAAAACTGTATTAACACTATTAAAGAACGGGTCTTGAGTATTTCCATCCATCCATCCATTATCTTTTACCCGCTTATTCCATTTTGGGTCACGGGGGTCGCTGGTGCCCATGTTCAGCAATCACTGTGCGAGGGGCGGGGTACACCCTGGACACGTCGCAAGTCCATCAGAGGGACACATGGAGACAAACGAGACAAACAACCATTCAAAAAAAACATCCAAAAATTTAATTAAGTTAAAAAAAATCAATGAAAAATAAATAAATAAAATTATATAAATGTATGCCTTTTTGTCTATTGTCGCTGTTGTCCATTGTTTTCATCGTTATTTGTTGAAATCAGGTCTCATTTGTAAATGAGTCCTCCAGGCTCAATGGGATTTTCCTGTCTACATAAAGGTTGAATGATAATTCACTCTCACTCACGTTTTAAGTATTTATGTTACACAAATATTTCCATTACATTAAAAAAAAAAATTATTTTTATTTTTACAAGCACGTAGATGTTTAACAATCTGTTAAAATACACCAAAATGCAGGAAATCACATCTATTCAAAATTTTATGGGGGAGGACCCCCCAGAACCCCATACCCCTCCACCTCTGCCGGCCTGCCCAATCTTTGCGTCCCGGCATCAATCGGTTTACAAATTAAGCTTTGTTACTTGGTATGACTACTGTTATAGTTCTGTTCAGTTTTCTGTAATAGTTTGAAGAAGTGCACGTACATTTATTATGTTCATTAAGTGAATAGGTAAAGTTTTAAAGTGGTTTTTGATACTATTAATTTTCTCAAAACTGTAATTTTTGGAAGTCAAAATTATTATTTTTTTAATTGTCTTGAAGGCGGTGGCGCAGTTGGTAGAGCTGCTGCCTCTCAGCGAGCAGGTTACACTGGTTCAAATCCCATTCTGGGGGCGCCTTTCTGGGTGGAGTCTGCATGTTCTCTCCGTGCATGCGTGGGTTTTCTCCGGGCACTCCGGTTTCCTCCCACAGACCAAAAACATGCATGTTAGGCTGATTGGTAACTCTAAATTGTCCTTAGGTGTGAGAGACAGTGTGAATGGTTGTTTGTCTCGTTTGTCTCTATGTGTCCCTGTGATGGACTGGAGAACTGTCCAGGCTGTCCCCCGCCTCTCAGTGATGGCTAGACATGGGCACCACTGAACCATGGATGGAGGGTATCTTGAATGATAAACACCCCATGTTTAAAAGTATAAAAGTTATATTAACACTATTAAAGAGCAGGTCTTGCGTATTTATGTTACACAAATTTTTCACAAGGGCTATGAGGGGGTCCCTGAAACTTTTTCTGCCCTGTAAGGGGTCCCTGAATCCAAAAGGTTTGAGAACCCCTGATGTAAGCAATCTAAATCAATGCTTATGCTGCAAAAACTGATTTTTCTATTCAGTGTTTATTCTTAGATCATGCAGCTTGAATCCCTTCTTTCTGCTTCTTGTGGTGATCCTGATAACATACTGACCTGCAATGTAACCAGATCTGTGCTGCTTGATTTCTCTCTGCTCTTTCCTTCAATCCAAAAGCTGCTCTGATGTCACTGCACAATGCCATGCTGCCACCTTGTGGTTGACTCTCTCGTTTCACTGTGTTCCATGTCGACCTGTAGGATCAGGCATCTAAAGACAAAGCCCTCCAGAACATGGCAGCACTCTCTTCCGCACAAATCGTCTCCCCGAGTATGATAAAGAATCATATTCAGCCACTGTCTCCTGCCCCGTACCCACCAACCAGAGTGAGTTATTTCATGAGAAGTAATTGTAATTTTTTGTCAGAATTATAAAACCACAAGGATTAACCTTTTTCTTACACTCTAGTTCTGGCCGGCTCCAATCCCAGTACAGCCTGGACCATCTCAGGAGTAAGTAAAACTCTGTACCAAGCCCGAGAGCCTTTTGTTGTGTAAGAATAACGTGTGTGCAAAATGTGAATAGATAACTCATCATTAGTGGAAACTACCGGTAAATGCAAAAATAAATGAGTGTATAATTTAGCAGGTTAGGGGTTTTTGCCAGGTGGGTATTGTAGGGTATGTTTAATGAATCACATTTTTCAGCACCAGGATGGTTCTAGATCTCAACCCGGGAAGGACTCCTGGGCCCGGCTGCACCAGCCATGCGTAAGTTCCCCGCTAGCCAAGTCCCGACTCTGAGCACAAGCCAGCTCTTAACTCTTCCTCTACATTATGCTGTGCTGCATGTTTCCTGCACTGATGTAAACCACCAGCAACTGCTTCAGATTTGACTGAAAAAAAAAAAAAAAAACCGGCACATTTATTCTCGTAGGGTTGATAACATGAAAAACGGTCACATAGTTTTTCAAATTTCTGTTATTTGTCAGTAAGCATTACAGCAGGTGAACTTACGCCTACCTGGTGCAGCAACACATGCTCACTTTTTGAAACTAACAAATTCACACATTCAAGACTCTTATAAGATATAAAGTTGAACCCATTAGCTACAAACGGCTGATAACAAAGATCAGCTGTTTGCTGACTGGATCACTTGTTGTCTTTCAGCATTAAACCATTTGTACAACCCCCATACCCAAACCTACCAGGCCCTGTACAACAACCCATGCCAGGTGAGTGGAAAAGATGAATCTGTTTCAAAGTGATTCCAAGCTTACATTCTGTTAATGATAGTGTGCATTCGTGCAGCCTATGAGCCCTTGCCGACCCCTCCTGCACCAACAGCTACCGCGGTCCCAGTGTGGCAGGATCGGACAATCGCGTCCTCCAAGCTGCGGATGCTGGAGTACTCCGCTTTCATGGAGGTCCAGAGAGACCCGGACAATGTAAGCTGATGTTTGAGATACGACTTGCAGATTTTGCCATCTTAATTTATTTTCTTCTTACATATAACAGAGTTCATATGGCGCTGCTATATTTGTATCATTCGTTGAAGTTCTGTGGCTCTAAATAACAAAAGAGGTCCTAACCTCACATTTTTCAATCCTCTTCTCTCTGTTCGCTGCAGTACAGCAAACATCTATTCGTCCACATTGGACAGACCAACCCCTCCTACAGTGATCCGCTCCTCGAAGCTGTGGACATTCGGCAGATCTACGACAAGTTCCCAGAAAAAAAGGGCGGGCTCAAAGACCTTTACGAGAAAGGCCCCCAGAACGCTTTCTTTCTTGTAAAGTTCTGGGTGGGTTTTTGTTTTCAGATATGCAGCTTAATTATTTTTATTTTTATGCACCTTCTAGCAATGCACCTTCTTACGACTTTTTAGTGCTCGAGGCACTTTGGAGCAATTGGATATCATTTTAATTTAACCATGCATTTTACAGTGCACTGTGTTTATCTCTGTGAACTGTGTAAGACATGTGGAAACTAAATTAACATTTAAATTTGTGTTTTCCTGTTTTGTTTTGTTTTTTGGTTTGTTTTAGGGATGCATGATATTGGATTTTTGGCCAATATCCAATATGTCGATATGTTAAAACTTGTTTGGCCGATAACCGATACCAATACTGATATATATTTTCCCTAGACCTACTTACAGAGACTATAGCTTTCTCTGCTGTGGAATTAAAATACTGCATGGTCTTTGTCAACTCGGCCTGCTACCAAATGCAGATGCCAAAAGGGGGGCTGAGACACTTCAACTTGGATTATGTTTAATGTCAAATATATTCATGACATTTACTCTCTCTAACACAATAACAACACTCCAATAGTGCAAATTTGTAAATTCCCACAAATCTAAACTCAAGGGTGCACGTGACGTCATAACGTTGTGCTGGCGCTGCATTCATCCTTGTCCCTGGATTGTTATGCAAAAACAGCGCCTTTTATATTTTATCCGTGAGTTATTTTGATGGAATGGCTGATATTTAACTTTATCGGCCGATACCATGTTGATAATATTGTGCATCCCTAGTTGTTTTTTTTTTTGTCCATACATTTATCGACTCATTCCAACATTTAAACATTTGACTCGTTTCAAAAATGGGTTTTAGCTATCATTTTGCTGCTTCTATCTACTGTTTGCTACTTTTAGCATTTAGCTAGTTTTCTGCATTTTTTTTTTTTTAGCTTTAACAACTCAGTTTCAGCATCTTCATCAAATCTCAGCAGTCATTCAGCTCTCACATTGCATTTTTAACCTAAAATGAACTTCCTCTAGTTTATCTTCAGAATTTTGTTGTATATGTACTGAGTATATTTTACAGTGAGTTTCAGGACATGTTCTGATTATTATGATCATATTCCGCTCTCTGCAGGCTGACCTGAACAGCAGCGGGATGCTGGATGGTCCAGGTTCTTTTTATGGCGTCAGCAGTCAGTACAGTAGCATTGAGAACATGACCATCACCGTTTCAACCAAAGTCTGCTCGTTTGGCAAACAAGTTGTGGAGAAGGTTGAGGTGAGAATTCGTACTAATCGACTGTTTTCACAAGTCTTTGTGTGAAACAGCTGATGCATTATTGTTCAGATATTTTTGACACTCCTGTTTATGTTGCAGACGGAATACGCCCGTATGGAGGGAGGAAAGTACGTTTACAGGATCCACCGCTCCCCTATGTGCGAGTACATGATCAACTTTATCCACAAACTTAAACACTTGCCTGAGAAATACATGATGAACAGTGTTCTTGAAAACTTCACAATCTTACAGGTACTGTTCGTGATCAGATCATTGTTTAGAAAATGCATTTCATTTATTTCCTCTTTAAAATTTGAACATGATCTCCAAGAGGCATAAACATAAAACTCTGCCATTTCTTATTTTCTGAATTTTAAGCAAGACAAGTGCATTGTTTTCATCTTGATCCATTTTAAAACACAGTATAGAACAATTGAAGTTGGAATTATAACAAAAGGCCACACTAGTTTCAATATTTCTTCTGATATAATGTCCCCCGTCGATGAGGGATTTCAATTATGAATGTTTGTAGTTTTCAAGACGAGTGTTTATCTGGCCTGGAATTGAACAGGAAATGAAAGTAAACCTTAAAGATTTTAGTGCAAGATATTCAGGTGGGTGGGAGTTGCACTGTAAGAGTAGTAGTCTAGTTTTTTATTTATTTACTTTTCTTGTTTTTTGCTTGTCTGAGGCAACACAGAGTGATGTGTCCTGGCAAGTGTAAGGAGCAATTTTATCCACGACCAGGTGCAATGGTGGAGCCGGCAGTGGCCATATTAGATTTTGACTTGGCATCCAAATTTTTGATAGGGAGCTTTTTTAAGCCTCATTGTAGCTATACATCAAAATGGAAGTTGGCGCGTTGCTTATGTTTGTTGATTTCTACAAATATTTGGGTATCTTGATCGAGTCGCATCTTTCGTTTCAGCTCCATGAGGAAAACCTAGTAAAGAAACTGAAAGTTAAACTGGGTTTCTTTTTGGGCAGCACGGTGGCGCAACTGGTAGAGCTGCTGCCTCTCAGCGAGCAGGTCCTTGGTTCAAACCCCGGTCCAGGGGCCCTCTGGGTGGAGTTTGCATGTTCTCTCCGTGCATGCGTGGGTTTTCTCCGGGTACTCCGGTTTCCTCCCACAGACCAAAAACATGCATGTTAGGCTGATTGGTAACTCTAAATTGTCCCTAGGTGTGAGTGGGAGAGTGAATGGTTGTTTGTCTCGTTTGTCTCTATGTGGCCCTGTGATGGACTTGCGACCTGTCCAGGGTGTACCCCGCCCCTCGCACAGTGATTGCTGGACATGGGCACCAGCGACCCCCGTGACACAAAATGGAATAAGCGGGTAAAGATAATGGATGGATGGATGGATGGATGGGTTTCTTTTTCAGAAATAGATCCTGTCTAACTCTGAATGCTAGGAAACGCCTTGTATCTGTGACTTTCCTTCCCTCCATTGATTATGGTGACATTATTTACATGAACACTTTTACAAGCACCCTGCAGATGTTGGACGCTGTCTATCATGATGTGCTAAGATTCATAACTGGCTGTAACTATGGTACCCACCATTTCACCCTGTATTCACTGGTTAACTGGTCATCATTAACTTCACGCAGACTCTCCCACTGGTACATTTTCATCTTTAATTCACTTCATGGTCTGTTTCCTTCTTATATCTCCTCCTACATCTCTCTGTGTGAGTGCAGCTACAGCGTGCGCTCTCCAGACATTATTACCTGCAGTGTTCCCTCAGTGACGACTGAAATAGGCAAAAGGGCCTTCTCCTACTCCGCTCCTGTTTCCTGGAATATCTTGCAAAAAGATCTGAAGCTCTCGACCTTGACCTCTCTAAGTGGCTTTAAACATCTGTTAAGTTCACGGGGAAAAAAACAATGCAGACATGTTCCTGTTTTTAGTTTTCTACACCGCCTTACAGTCTAGCTGTTTTTTCGCTACTTTTCCTTTTAATTATCTTTTTAATTACCATTTTATTTTCACTTGTAAAAAACAAAATCAAATTTGTATGCATCTTTATGATTGTCTATTGTTGTCGTTGTTGTCCACTGTTGTCATCACTCTTTGTTAAAGTCAGGTCTCTCTTGTAAACAAGTCCCTGAGGCTCAATGGGATTAACCTCTATAAATAAAGGTTGAATGAATGAATGAAACCTGGATGGACATTTATGATGGCAGCCATCTTGGATTTTGATGTGACAACCCAATTTTTTAAAGAACCTTTCTTGCTGTTGTAGCCACACACCAAAATGAAAATAAGTACCTTACCTTTCATGTAACCATGTTCACAACATGCACAGATGGACGGACAGAAGGAGGAGGGTATTTCCAATTATTCTCTCTTGCTCATACTTGTAGCTTAAAGGTGTATCTTAAAAGCTTAAAAGAATATATGTAAGTGTGGTATCAATACATTGGTTTAACTTCATCTATTTTCTTTCCCCTCAGGTGGTGACGAACCGCGACACCCAGGAGACCCTTCTCTGTATAGCATTTGTTTTCGAGGTTTCCAACAGTGAACATGGAGCTCAGTATCACGTCTACAGACTCGTTAAAGAATAACGGCATCTGGAAAACCCAGCGAAAAATGCCTGATGCAATCGCTCTTTGACAACCTCATCCATCCAGCAGAAACTACAACAAACATTTTTAACAACCATAGACCGAACTGACATGGACACATTTTATGCTTTAAAGAAAAGAATGCAAGAAAAAGTAAAAGTGTAAACGTGCCAATATGCAAAGAAATATTGAAGAACTGTGGACAACCAGCCATTTTTCATGTGTTTAAACAATATGAAGTGGGTCATTCGTGATTGATGAAGCTTGAAAAGTTTTATTGAGGGAACGAGAATGTGGTTAGGGTGGAAAGGACTCTTAACAGTAACCAAGTGAACATAAGAGAAGTGTACATTGGACTGCAAAGTGGAGTAAATTGGACCACAGAAGGAGGAAAACCAGAAGCAAGTTGTTAAAAGTTTGTGAGGAAAGCAAGTGCCTTGTTTTTACCAAAGGTTATATCATTGCCTGCCACTTTGAATTGCCTGTTTTTTTTACTACCTCTTATTTTCAAATGAACGTAAAATATTCTTACACGTATTTTGTTACAAAAATAATAGAAGTAAAATTCTGTTCAGCATCTGTGGAGGCTGTTTTGGAGGAAATGGGATAACCCAAGTGTAATGTAGCCTGTTTTCCAAAATAAGATTAAAAAAAATATATACATTAAAAAAACATCCCAAGTTTTAACAATCCAAGTGTATTGGGGGAAATTAATTTTGTTGTTGTGTTGCAAGGTTCTGCTTTTTTTTTATCTTTTACTACTCGGATACAAATCAGGTCTTACCAGCATCTATCTGTTACTGACAATTGACACTAAGGATGTTTGTAAAGTTGCTATGCTGACATGAAGCCAGGACTTTGCCTTCCTTACGAGACCCCTATTATCTCCCTCTTTTTGAAGACGCGTGCTTGGATGCACTTGTATTGAACTACGACAGGGGTTTGCAACAACAGCAGTGCTTATTTTCTGACTTGAGGTATGTAGCGTAACTCAGTTTTAACAAAGTGTTCATTCTTTACTGTGAGCAGCGGATGCTAAAGGAATATGTGTTACATAGGAGTATTTTCGGGTGGGGTGGGAGGGGATTAATGTTAATATTTGTAATTGAGAACTCAGCACAGAGACCATGGTTAAAAGGGGAGAAGTTAATCACTGTTTCTTTTGTTTAAAAAAGAGATTATATGCTGTGAAGTTGGTTTATTTACTTCACTCTTCTCCAAGTAGCGCACGGAGAAGCAACATTCATTAGTGAAAGCTCGGTTTTATATTTAAGACAATTTTCTTACAGGCAAAATAAGTTGGAAATCAGTCTAAATAATTGTTTTGAAAGATAGCTATTGTCTCTGTGGAGTATGAATATTGATTGTTATTTATAGGGTTGGAAGAGAAAAAGCATGATTTCTACAGATGTGTGTTGATCGGTTTCCATTGAGGGAGATGTAACTGTAGCAGGTCCTGGATTAGATGCAGGATAACTCTCAACCCCTCGAGTCCTGCTGGACAAGTAACTACTCTGTGGTTCACTGGACAATTTTGCCACAAAAAGTGCAAATGTAAGACATATCAGTGGCATAATAACTGCCCCTGGCTTTGAATGTCATATTCTTTAGACACATAACACTCCTCCTCTTGCAGGTCTCAGTTTATCTTAGACATCTTTTGTTATTATCAAGATTATTGTTTTGATTCTGTTGTTTTGACTTTCAGTGTTTGCCTTATGCTACACTGAAAATATTGTGTGATTGTGCTGGTATTGATAATTAATAATGAGATATCTAATGTATCATATTCTGAATGGTGTGGGATTTTTTTTTGTGTTTTTGGTTTAAGGTGGTTTACTATTGTCTTTGTTACCATTGTGCATTGCAATTTTATACTTAAAAATAGAGGTTGGACTATGTAATCAACAATTGTATCTAACAAAACAAGCCGCATGGTGCCTTTGGGGCCATTTCCCCCCAGAAAACTCATTAAACGTTTGTTAATTTGTTTTGTCCACAGTGTTTCATTTATTAACAAGTTAACGAATACACAAGCTACCAAATGATGTTTCAGAATTGCAATAAGATGTGCAAGCAAATATATAAATATATATACAGTATAT